CTCCTGATCCTTGTCCTCCAGCCCTAGTGGGCAAGGGGGTATGGTAGGAAGAACAGACTCAGGAGACGCCACTTGGATTCAAGTTCTAGCTCTACCACTCCCTGGCTATGTGCCATGGCAAGAGTTTCTATACTCCCCAAGCCTTAGTCCCTTACTTACTGAGGGAACTGAAAATAAAATCCAGACCTTACCAGATCACTGTGAGGACCAAACAAAATAAACGCATTATGATCCATCTAGCAAAGCATCTAGCTGAAAATGTAACTTTTCTACTATTCCTTAAAACTGAAAACTAGAGTTGGCATCCCAGGCACAGTCATCTCAGTCTAAGCTTCTTCAAGTTCAGTAAGAGTGATCTTGGCTAGGTGCGGTGGCTCAGAGGGGCAGCCTAACACTCTGGGAGGTCAAGGTGGGAGAATAGCTTCAGGTCAGGAGTTTGAGACCAGCCTAAGCAAAGCAAGACCTCCATCTTTTCTAAAAACAGAAAAATTAGCCAAGCCTGGTGGTGCAGGCCTGTAGTCTCGGCTACTCAGGAGGGTAAGGCAAGAAGATTGCGTGAGCTTAGAAGTTTGTGTTTGCTTGAGCAAAGCTGATGTCACAGCAGTCTAGCCTGGAAGACAGAGCAAGACTGTCTCCCACCCCCACCCCTCGCAAAAAGACTGACCTTCTTAGCACATCATTTTCATCATATCATTGCCTCTAAGGGAGTGGCTTCCTACTGCCTACAGAATTGAAGTTTACACTCCACAGCCCAGGATTCAACTTGGTCCCATCTATCTTACTGCCTACCTCTGAGAAGAGTGCAGATTCACTGTCTCCTAAATAAGCTGTGTTGCTTCTTTATTCAGCAAGAAAACTTTCTTGAGCATCTATTATGTATAAAACATTGGAATACATAAATGTGAATGAAATAGGGGGCCAAAAGGGCTGTAATACAGAGCATAGAGGAGGAGCAGGACAGGACATATAGCTGCAAGAGAGCTGGGGAGATCTGAGAGTAAAGCCTACGGAGTACACACCTGGCACACACCACAGGGCAGTTGAAGCACACAAACCTTCATCTTCCTTCTCTCTGCTTGGCAAGTCAGACTTGGTTAATGACAAAGGTGATAGCTGTAAACATTGGCTGAATGCAAACAGTAAGCCACTGCGCTAAGCTTGCATTCTTTCGCTCAATAAGGATAACAATGTGGGATGTAGGTATAATTCTTATACTATTTTATGAATGCAGAAACTAAGACAAAAGTATCTTGGGTAACTTGGCCAGAGTCACAGAGCTGGGAAATGGAAAGTCTCTGCTCTTCACTTCCTTTGATAAAAACATCCCTCTACTCAGAGATAACTGCCCTTCCCCAGAAGTGGCCACAAAGCCACTGATCACAGTGACTCTAACACAGGCAGGACCTAACTCAGAGCACAAAGATCTGGCAGGATGGATTAGGATCCTGTCTGGATAACACATATATGTGTACCTGCAGAGTGCAGCCATCATCACATTGTAGAGAATCACCTCAGGAAAAGGGCTGAGAAGGAGGGCTATATAAAAAGAAAGCCATCTCTAGCATATAGAGAGAGCCACAGTTCAATGACATGAAATCAATTCAATACGAACTGGGCACAACTACACAAAGGAATATAGGCAAATACAATAAGCACTTGAAAAAGCGACTAAGGTCATTAGTCACCTGGGAAACTAAAATTAAAATCATGATGAGATAGCTATATATTAGAATGGCTTTTAAAATAAACAAATGCTGTAGATACCAAGAACCTGACAGCACAAAAACTAAATCTTAATGTATGGAAATTTTAAAAATAATAATTAGGAAGACAAGAGATGTGAAAGGAATACTTCATCTCTGTAGTCTTCTTTTCTAAAACCAAAGTCCAGAGTGTATTCAGATTTCCTTAGTTTACAAATGTCCTTTGTGTTTTTCTTTTTTTTTTTTTTTT